GCTGCGAGCAAAATGGCTCTAAGCCCTAACCGCCCCCGGCATAGGGGTTCAGGTCGGACGGAGGCAGGATGTCCCCGAAGCTCGTATACGAGGCATGGGGCCTCTGAAGCTCTCTACGTAGACGGACCGTGGTTCTTTCAGGCTTAGGAGCCTTTTTGGGCTGAGATTCAAGTCGTGTGTGCACCTAGCTCGGCATGCGAGAACCTTTGACAACTAGATAGCTTTTTGCATGCTGAGCTCCCTGCTTGCCATGCTGCGGGCGTGAAACACAAGACGAGCAGGAACAGTTGTAGGTTGCTTAGGTTGCAGGCGGTGGCTCACGCTGTCACATTTCCGACTTCAGGTGCTGTACGGCTTTTGGCCTGCTCTTGTCCTTGTGTTGGGCATGGTCGCCACTGCCTGAGACATCTCAGCATCGCCGTTCGCTGTGACTTTCTTCCTTGGCTAGGTGATGCTTGCAATCCTGAACGTGCGCTGGGCTTTGGATGGTTCGTTGGGCTTTCAGGAGCTTCACGGAAGGACAGCGGGTTTGTTCGACTGCTTCCGGCAAAGGAGAGACGTACGTGTATCAGACCCCTATAGGTAGTGGCGGCTGAACAGGACGGTGGTCGCAAGTGCCCGCTTGGAGTCGCCGGGCTTGCTGCTGTGGCGCGTCGCGCCTCGAGCGGAACAGTCAGTCAACCGCTCTTCACTTGCACAGCACTCACTCGTCGTCACACCATGTGCGCTGCGAAGAATCGCCGCGCGAGTCGGCATGTCGCGTCGTGAAGGCTCCCTGCTTTGCTGGCTTGCCTGATTCTTTCGGTGGCGCCGCTGGTTCTCAGCGTCAGGCGGTATAATGCCAAAGAGAAGGAGCTCGTTCTGCCAGGGTGCGCGCTTGATGCCCTGACGGCTGCGCAGCCTTGTTACTGATGTTACTGCTTGTCAGTCATGCCGCATAAGCCAAGTCGGTTCCGTTGAAGTTCGGTTGAAGTTCACCCCAGCTGTTACGTTGCAATAGACAGCTGCCTGCGCGAAGGAGCCTCATGAGATTCTGCCGTTCGTTTTCTACGGTGGGATGGAGGTTTTGCTCCTGTACTTCACTCTGTGGACGCTTGCCGAGAACGCAGCATGCATGCAGCCTTGCAGATGCAGGGGATTTGCTCAAGCTGGCATGTTGTGAGGGTTTTGAGGGTGCAGCATCACAGGACTTGGTGCATCATGACGCTCTACTTCCTGCTGGCCAGCAGCTCTTTGGATGGACTGGATTCCTCGTGAACTGAAGGAACCGAAACAAGGCTTCCCGGAGCCACAGGGCTCGCACTGAGGCGCAAGCTTCGTCTACGTCGCCTGGGGGTTCGATCCCACGACGCTTGTGACCACGGGCCTGTGTGTCAGCTTTGACATCGCAACTTGCTTGATAGGAGGGGCAGCGATTACACTGGAGCTGTACAGAGAAGGCAGCGAGAGAAGGTGACAGAGGGCCTTAGAGGCAGACAGGCACGCACGTAAACGGAGAAAGAGAGTGTTCGAGACAGTGGGACAGCCAGACAGAGACGGCAACAGACAGCGGGAGGAAGACAGAGAGCTCATGCTCTTCCCCGTGCTTGTTGGAAAGGAAGGAAGGCAGGCAGGAAAGAAGAGACAGAGAGAGTGAGCTAGTCCGGGAATGGATGCAGAGAGATGTAACAGAAGGCATTCGGGACGTCGTGGCTGGTATTCTGGGCGGTCTGGCTGCTGCTATTGCCCTTTGCATACATGGCTCAGCCACTAGCTTGCAATAGTTGAAGCTGTCTCAGCACGAGCAGCGGGGGACGGGGACATGGCCAGCGAGTTGATTGGCAGGCGCAAGGCGGCGGTGGACAGCTTGCAACTTGCCCGGAACAC